AATATACTAGAATGATTGTGTCGCTAGAACTGAATGATTTACACATGTCTATTACTGAAAAAACTAATAAAAACACGGCACGTAACACACTCTTTTGACACTTGCCATAAACACTAAGATGGCGGCACACGATTAGTTCCGATTTTGGCCGCGCGCAAAAAAAATTTTTGTAAAATATAGCGCGCGCGCGCGCTATATTTTACAACTCTTTTATTTATGACGTATCATTATATTAGAGTTCATTGTTTCACCTGACATCCGCTTACGTAACTTAATTTTGACAATGTTCATATTGCCGAAAATCCGCTATACTTCGGCTTTTGAATGTTGAAGCGACAGCACGCTGATGGCTAAGTCGACTAATTTCCGAAAGGCATTCATCCTAGCCGCATTTTTGTATCTCAAGAATTGAGTCCAAAATTTCACTATATCATTACCATCACCTTTTTATTTGACCAATCGCACCTCCATTTAAAATTTTCACGAAACTTACAAAATTTGGCTAAAAGACTAACACGAAACTCGAAAGTTCGAAAAACCGATTCTTCTCAAATAATAAAACTTAGAGGATTAATATAATGAAAAACTAAACAGTTACATTATACCGTAATGCAAAAGGGAGATAAAACAATTAACGCATCAGCAACATTTTGGTCGGAGAATACCCGAACGATAGACTCGCTAGTGTTTTTTTTTTACACTTTGCTGCCAACTAACATCTTATTTTTCGCCAGTTTCCAATAGATATTTTTAGCGCTTAAATACTTCAAAAAAGTGCTATAGACCATAGAATTACTCTAAATCTAGCGCCAAATGCGCTAAAACAGTAACAGTAACAGTAAACTTATGAATTATAGAACGTTATTTTGAGAATAAATGATATTTTTTATGCTACCATCTACATTACGAAGCGATAGAATATACGACGCACTGACGCACCATGCCCATGCCACCTATATAAATACACCATAGATAAATACACCATAGATAAATAGATACGTAGCAAGCTATAGTCAACCAAAAAATACGTTTTGACAAGGCCGCGATGTAAAAGGACTACGTAATTTCAATATGCTGCCATTTCGGGCGCTTGCTGTGCGTAATTTTGTGATTTTGTATTTGTCTTCTTATTTTGTGATTCGGCTTCAACTTTTTGGCCTGTTTTTTCAATATTCGTTGAAGCATGTGGCTATTTCAGAAAGGATAATTGGTCAAAAATGGTAGAAAAAACAAAAATATTATTATGGATGACTTTGAAAGAGACATTAAATTTCACTGCATTATTTAAAATCAAACAACGACAGCTCAACTTTTAATTTAGTTATAATCTTAAATTTTTATAACTGTGCTTTTAAAAATAAGCAGTACCTAACAACAAATACGTAGAAACTGATAAATCTCGTGTTTTAAATTATCCGTTTTTAATTTATTCTGGTATTACTCAAACCAAACTGTAAATGATTACTAACTCTAAATAATCGATATCGATTTTTATAAGAATCGAATATTGTACGTTCCCATTTTATGGTTGGCATGCTTGGTGCCGGAGGTTAGAGAACAGGAGAACGATCGCTACGTACTAAAGCATAGCCCGTCTGTCCTTAAATAATAGTTGTAGAATTTATAGCGGCACTGCCGTCGGTGAGTAGTGGCTGCGAAGTTAGCTATTTATTAGTACAAGTAGATGAAGTTAGTTGATTGGTACAAATTTTCTTCGCGGCATTGGTGAGAAAATTTTCATGCTCCGTAATATTTTAGTTTTTGACAAAAAGAAACATTAAAAAATGGAGAAATATTTTATAGTGCGTGGATGTGCAAATGGTTTAGCATCTGATCGGAAAAATAGACTGAAAATTATTTTTATTGAGTGAACTTAGCGATCGCAGCGCCTCACTTATGGTGTCTATATTTCTGAGACACTATTTTCTATGGCGATCGTTCTCCTGTTCTCTAACCTCCATGCCTGGTGCAATAAGTCCGACAGTTGTCAAAATTTATTTCTTAGATGTGGTTGAATATATTAATCAGTAGTAATCTATGCATGTTACTTCGGGGAGTTTTGGCGGGAACTTTGATGTAGATGGGTTATCGCTCCTATTTTGTCGCTCGAATAATAGTTCGAAGTGGATTTTGATTAATGAAAGTGATACAATTTTGTAAATTAAGTGTCCGCGCGTGTGAACTATTAAAGAAAACGACGAAACAAGTGCTTTGATGTTGATATAAACCTCAAGTTATTTTGACTGTTTGGGCGCCTTATGAACTTGAGTGACGCATCATCAACTGTTCGCTGAGTTGAGCTGTCTCCAAAATCTCCCAAGGGCTTTGCATTGTGACGCATCAGCATATTGCGAAGGAAGAGTATATAAAAATGAAGATTCCGAAAGAAATGATAGGTTCAGAAGGGTTAGCACCCAGAGCCGTAAAGCCGGTTAATAAAAATAGTCAATGGCGCCTACTTGATGGTAGTGGTAGTTGGTTAAAATTTGATATTTAATATTAAAAATGTATTCTGTGATATTAATTTTAAATTATTCTGATTTGTCGTTTGTTTATGTGCTTTCCTTTATAATAATTAATATAAGCGACCCAGTTTTACTTTTCGATGTATGCAAAAATGCCATGAAAGCAATGTGCTTTTAAATGTGACCAATTTGGTAAGTACTTACGTTTTTAATATTCGCATAATTTCCATTTTTTATTCCCTTGTAAACAGCTAATATCTAAGAAATTGAAGGTTCAAGGCATGGGCTGTAATCACGAAAAGTCCAATGCTGTACATAGGCTTCCACAGATTGCCTCAGATAGGTACTATTTGCTTTGCCATAGCTGCCACGCTTGGCAGGCGGGTTTTTGCCCATCCCCTGTTTCAGTTTCCGTCTCTCGCCTCGGAATTAATGTTTATATTTTATAATTTCAGATGTTTTACACTACTTTCCGAAACCGGAATACCCTTCACTAGAAAGGTTTCAGCAATGGAAGAAGATAGCTGAAACATATTTAAAAGATAAAACCGATCGTGAAATTCAATATTACTACTGCATTTGCGATCGGCACTTTGAGGACCGTTTTCTATATCCTCAAACTAAAAGACTTGCAAAAACAGCTTACTCCGGTGTTAACATTGGTAAGTCTTTATTAAAAGCTTTCTTTTTGTCATGTTAATTAGCAATTGTTTTAGCAGAGACTAAAGAAAGTCATTTTCAGGATGTAATATTAGTAAAGATAGTAAAGCAGTTTGCTCATTCAGTTTATACTTATTATAAGTATGTCAGCTTGACTACAACAACTGCAACCCCACCCAGTGGTAAGTGGTTATAAAGCACTGTCTTATCAATAACTAATTAGAGGTAGGAATAAATTCTCTTAAAGTAAATGTTGAAGAACTTGAAAATAAATATCACAATTGGCATAAAATCTACACAGACGGATCAAAGAGTGTTAAGTTGCTAGGGGCAGCTTTTTTCAACCTATCTCAAGCAGTTTCTAAATCTTATAAAGTTAATATTACATTTGTATTATGACCCTTGAACTCATTGCAATATCCGAAGCCCTAAGGTATGCCGCAAGCTATAACTGGAACAAAATTATTATATACTCAGACAGCAAAACTGGCTAAAACATTTGGCTAGATCTGCCTCTGGAATCGGAGGTGTTTCGAAAGCCTATAGCATACTTTCCCAAATATATCAGTTCAGTCTACGCAACATCTGTGCAAGAGTGCTATTTTAGCACATAGAACAACTATTGGGTAATGAGGAGGCAAATAGATTAGCATACTCTGCTTGTGTAAATGGTGTAGAGTATAATAGTGACCCTTGCTACTCAGAAGTACTACCAAAATTCAAAAATTCATGTCATAACAAAGGGAAAGAATTTTTCAATGAAAGCTCTAAAACAAAGGTGTTTGGTACAAAACTATACAGAGTGAACCACCTCAATACCTTGGTTTATACATAAGAAATTAAATAGAAATACTATCAAATTAATATTTAGAATAAGAATTGGTCACATTCTATGAAAAAAGATTTCTTATTTGATGAAAGGGACTGATTCACCTAATTATGAAACTTGTGGAGTAATAGAAGACTTACATCATTTTTAATAGAATGTGAGTGGAACCTAGGGGCAAGGTAATTATTTGTAAGGACATATAAGATAAATGTGTACAATATTATATTTTGAATTTATTATATGTATAGATTTTTAGGGTTACGTATTTACACAACAGGGAACCCTTATAGTTTCGCCATGTTCGTCCATCCACAGTTTTACTCAGGTACACTAGGTGTTACAGATTTGTAATTTGACATAGTTTATAGACATTAATCACGTCTACAAAATTGTGCAATAAAATCTTAAAAACATTTTTGGGTACCTCCTATGCAGGTAAATGAATGATGATTTTTTTTACCCGTATATTCCATCATGTAAGATATCGTTGGATAGGTCTTTCAAAAACATTGCGAGTATGGAAGAACATCTTTACGGTTCATGGGTTTGTTTGTGAAATATTAAACTTTAAAGTAGTATTTTTCATTAGACTCATGTGTCTCCTCTACCAACTAAACTGCTGTTTTTGGAAATGTGGAAAGTATAGTCAATAGTAACATATATAATGAAGTTAAAAGGAAAACTATTGCATCAAATTAGAATTAACAAGTTATCGAGTAATAGTTGACCAACTTACAAAATGCACTTGGATTAGTAAAAATTTCATTACAACTCCTTAAAAAATGACACAAAACTAGCTGCATTATAACTTTGTAATGTTATTGTGAACTGTAAGAAATAAACATTTTATGAAGAAATCTTACTACTTTCGGTTATGCCGGGTTGACATGATAACAGTCAGCTCGGACCGAGTCACGTCAGAGTACACTCGTATGAGTCAGAGTCATATGAGTATACTCCTATAGTGGTTTACACGATCATAGTGTACTCTTATCAAACTTCATTCAATTTTGTATCAACTCACGGAACACACTGATATTCTCAACATGGAACAGACTGATCTGCTGTTGCAAGGTGTCGCAGTTGTTGCAGATGTACTAATAAAAGAGTTGAACCATATAAGCAAAGAAACAAGCAATGTAAGAAGAAAGAAGGAATGCAAGAAGAGATCGATTTGGACCCGCGAATGGATATTAAGGCGTGAAAAGCTGGGAGCATCAGATAATTTTCTCCGAGAAGTATGCATGGAAGACAATGCTACTTACAAGAATCATTTGAGGCTGAACGGTGAACAATTTGACTATCTGTTACAAAAAGTAACGTCGAAAATACAGAGAGCTGATACAGTCATGAGAGCTGCTCTACCTGCCAAAATAAAGCTACAAATAGCTATGCGCTATTTAGCAACTGGAGATAGTTTTCCAAGTTTAGAAAGTTCTTTTCGAGTTCCAAAGAGCACCATATCCAAGTTTCTGCCAGAAGTGCTAGATGCAATATATGAAGGGTTGGAGGAGTACATAAAGGTCAGTAACAAGAAATCATAGTGAAATTTTTATTTAATATCAAGCTACCTACAAACTACTTCAAAATAGCGATAATTCTCATTATTTTGAATCCCGCCAATGCTTCGAATTGCTTCTTGGTATTGATAATCTACTACAAATTTTGGTGATGTTTCTTGGCTTGTTGCATCACGTTGGATCTGAACTTCTATGCCTTCCTCTTGTAATGCATCATTTACTACAACAAGTTGTGTTGATTCTTGCCTTGTTGCATCACATTGAATGTGAATCTGAGATTCAAGATTATATTATATTATATATATTCATTCGATGTCGTAGAATTGTTTTCCAATTGCATTCGATTTATTCTTTTCCATTTTACTATTTCTATTATTTCAGACTGAATATCTATGGCATCTATTAGGGGCAATGGTCGGAGCTGGCTGGCGATATTTTTGGGAGAATTCATCTTCTATTTATTTATGACACAGTACTTGGTCCTTGATACTATTAAGTGTTTCAATGGTCGTTTAAGTGGTCGCTTCTTCTTGATAGTATTTTGTGGCTTAACGAATATTTCACTATTTACAAGGCAATCACGTCAATATACAACAACCAATCGACAGTGGAAGTGACTTTTTTAATTATAAAGGTTACTTTAGTACTGTACTTTTGGCTCTGGTAGACAGCAACTACTGTTTTACATATATTGACGTGGGCAGCCAGGGTTGATTAAACGATGCTTCAATATTCAGTAATTCAATACTTAAAGAGAAATTGGAAGATGGGACTCTGAAATTTTCTTCTTGGGGTGTCATTTTAGGAGACGAAGCTTTTCCACTGAAACAGTATTTGATGAACCCATATTCTCGAAGATTAACATTGACAGCCGAAGAGAAAACTTTTAACTACCTTCTTTCTCGTGCCATAAGAATATTAGAAAATGCATTTGGCATTATGGTGTCAAAATTTTGAATATACCGGACTCCAATATATTTGTGTCCAGACAAAGTTGACAAAATTGTCAAAGCAACTTGTACACTTCACAACTGGCTCATGAAGACAGCCATGCACTATTATGCACCAGTGGGAACAATGGACACAGATGACAGACCTGGTTCGTGGAGACGGGAACCTAGTTCAAATTATATTGCACATGTTGTGAATCAAGGTAGTAATCATCCATCTCGGTTGGCAGAGCAAAGAAGAATAAATTATAAAAATTATTTCATTGGAGAAGGCTCCGTCCCATGGCAAAGTAGCAGAATATTTTAAGAATATCTGTTCTTATATTTTAATGTGACATTATAAAACAGCTAATAAATTAAATACAAATGTTTATTGTTTTATTATAATAAATAAACTTACCACATTCTGATAAGTTTTCCTGCTTTTTATGACCCCAGATAAAAATCTGTCGGCGATTTCATACCAAGCCAATGAAGGAACATACACATCATTAGCCCCTGATCCGGTCCCAGTAGATTTTTTAATTTTTACTTTTTCCTGGGTGTATGTGCTACGAATGTTATTTATTTTCGTGTTCACCTCTTGAATTGTAGCCTCCATATTGAGGTTATGTATAATGCACTGAATAGCGCATTCCGGGCATCTTTTTTGTTTACAGTCTTTGAGTCGCATATTCCACAACACTTGTTCTTCTTCATACAGTTCCACGAACCTTACAGTATCACGTTCCGTCCACTTTTTCCTTGAAGCCGCCATTTTTAATTAAAATGATCCGAGCTGAGATCCGAGTGAAAGGGGAAAATAGAGCATTATCCGATTCCACTCGGATTAGATGCCGGCGTCCGAGTACGCTCGGATTACATGTTTACACGATACGAGTAACGTCCGAGTAGTAATCCGAGTGCACTCGGTCCGAGCCAACTCTTATCATGTCAACCCGGCTTTATTTTTTAGTTGGTAGTTATAGTTGCCTCATTCAAAGTATTCATACAATCAAAAAGCCCGATACAGTTTCATTCGTAATACTCTTGGTTTATGCGGGTAACCCTCAGGATAAATCAGAGCAGTAGTAGTAGATTACCTAATCTGTATAGTTTTCGATTATTGCTTATGACATTATTTTAAATGATTTTAATAAAAAAAAACATGTATCACAATAAAAATACATGTGGAGTGTAACTTCATCTTTGTAAATTTTAAGTATTTGACTGCTTTATGCACATTAATCACACATATCGGTATTTTTCAAAGAGCACCTACTTCGGTGGAAACAATTCTTGTGGTAATAAAATTGATTCTGTAAACGGTTTTTATAAATGCTCAAGTTTTTCAAATCCAATACCTTGGTAGAGTGGAATAATCATGCAAAGCGTGTAAGTCCATCGGGTTATTACAATATTCGGTTGAACGTTCGGTAAAATTTTTACCGAACCAAATATTCGGCCGAACATTATTCGGCGGGATTACCTCGGTACCCAACCAACTTATGTCTAAACTTGTTATCGTAAAGCGCGCTGGATGAGCGCTAGAGCCTTCCCCTCGCTCCCACGCCACAACTAACATGTTATTGCATCATCTAGTACTGAGCAAATTGCATCATCTAGTACTGAGCAAATTGCCGGCACATGCTTATGTTTTGACCATTTTTGTGAGAAAAAAAGTATTCCTAGTGGGTGGAAATTGATAAGTATGTGATGAAAATGAGTGGCAGGAGATCTACTATTTGGACCAATTTTAGAGAAACTGACGACTGTAATGTAATTTTTCTCTTTGATTCCAAAAATTTTTTTATCAAGCTTTCTTACTTACAACTTATAACTTATCTTCACGCACAATCCCTAACGAGGTAGCCAGAGAGAACAGATCGCCAAGTGTTACGATCCCTACATACCTCTTTCGCTTCTTTCAGGTTCATTAACTTCTTCATACATGCACATCTAGGTATCCGAGTACTCTTGACCTTCCCCTCTTCGAGCAATTTGCTCACATGGTCTTCGAAAGTTAGTCTAGGTCTACCTCAAACCTCACACCACCTTTTAATATTTACTTTCGCTCTATATATTTTCTTCACCATTCGGTCTTTACTCATTCGCTCAACGTGCCCAAACCATTGGAGTACGCCCCTATCAATTTTTTTGATAATTTTCCAAAATTGAAAATTGATCAAGCTTTCTATTTGCTATCATTGGAAATAAATCTACAGTGCCTCAAAAACATAACCCTATACGCGCTATACAAGTAGATTTAACCCATAAATAAATATACTTTCAACAGTAAAATTATGAAAGACATAGTATTACTCATGTTGTTTCCATACAGTGGATACTTTGAGTACCCGAATATTCGGTGTCTTAGCCGAATATTCGGCCGAATACGAATATAAAACGAATATTCGGCCCACCTCTAATATATATATATGTATGTAGCAGTGAATAAAACAAGCCGAATAAAGAAAGTTTTGTGTTACTCATATACTTTCAATACTATTACAGGTTTACATGCTGAAAGATTAAAAATGGAACCCACACCACGTAAACTGGATGCATTTTCTTCACAAGATTCTGCCACAAGTTCACATGATAATAGTATAAGAGGTATTTAATTAATTTTTTTGAACGAGAGGGGGGGGGGGAAGGTCATGCAGCTCACTTGATGTTAAGTGACTACCACCGCCCATGAAGAACCACAACAACAGGGGCATTTAAAAAAAGAGTTGGTTCTTTTCTTGAAAGGTCACGTTGTATTTGTCCAGAAAATTCTCTGAAAATTCCTGTAGGTATATTGTATTACTATGAAGTAAGTTTGCCGTGTGATAAGTTAAAGATTACTATAATAATAACAAGTACGACTAATAATGGTTCAAATGCAGAAAGCGGTTACAACTCTTGTATATATAACATTGAAATTTTGTTATCACTGGGCCGCAAGCCATGCAGTGGAAATGCTACGTTTTTGCACTGTGTACACTGCAGCACTGCCCCAGCTCCAAAAGCATTTTAATAGCATATTGCATAGTATATATTACATCATTATAAGGCAGAAGTTGCAATTCAAAATGATTCATTAAAATGGAGATACCAATACAAATTGGTCTATGCTGTCATTGTTTCATTTGATCTCTATATGCATACCTGATTGTCGTACTTTTTTCAGGTACATTGATTAAAAGAAGGCGTAGAAATGTGAATATAAAAAAATTAATAAACAAAATCATGATTTTAAAAAGCAAAATTAAAGAATAAAAATGTCAAGTAAAAGCAGCAAAAAAATGTCATACACAAATTTCAAAAGGTTCTGAAATCCTTATCGAAGCCTGCTCAGATGTTGCTAAATATGCAATTAACTAAGCACAATAAAAGAGGCCATGGAAGGCGTTTTAATATTGAAGAAAAATTATTAGCTTTGTCAATTTATAAAAGAAGTCCCAAAGGATATAATTTTCTTACAAAATTATTTACCTTGCCCTCAAAGAGGACATTGCAGGATGTCCAAAAAAAATAACTTTGAAACCAGGTCTGAATCCAATAGTATTACGTCAAATAAAAGATGCAGCACAAAAATTTTATATGGAAGAACACTGTTTGTTATTGTTTGATGAGATTTCGCTTTAACTATCACTACAGTATGATAAAGCTTTAGATCAAATAGTCGGCTTTGAAGATTTTGGTGAAAATGATCGGAATGACAATATTGCTGATCATGTTATAGTGTTTATGTTAAAGGGTGTAAAAATTCAATATAAGCAACCTATTTTCTTTGCTTTTTGCAAAAGCGTAACAAATGCAACAGTTCTTAAAGATTAATAAAGAGTATCATAAAAGAAATATTTCAGGCAGGGTTAATTGTTGATGTAGCTGTGTGTGAACAATCAACAAACACAAAGGTAGTAAATGAATTATTAAGAGAGACAAATGCAGAATATTTGAGAGTGAGTGAAGAACATAAGAGCAATGCTTTTCAAATTGAAAATCATGATTCTCTCCTTATTATTCGGCCTGCCACATTTATTAAAAGAAGTGAGGATTAATTTAATATCAAAAGACCTAAGGTATATTCAGAATGACCAAGTAAAAATAGCAAAATGGCAACATTTAAAATTACTGTTGGAAATTGATGCAGGACATGAGTTAAGAATGTGTAATAAGCTTACAGAATTGCTTGTTATGCCTGGAAAAATTCTCAAAATGAAAGTGAAACAAGCAGCTCAAGTTTTTAGCCAACGAGTATCAGGAGCTTTACGATTTTGTGCAAGTAAGTATATATACTTTGTTAAATAATATTCAATGTTGAAATTATTTTTTGTAAGATACTATCTCTTTATCACTTATCTACTCGTATTATCTCTTGTATCTAACATTTTATTGCTTCTTATTATTTAAAAAGTGCTCATAACATTTTATTTCTTTGCAGAAAATAAGTTGCTGCCACAAGAATGTGAAGATATGGCAGATATACTTCTCCTTTTTGATCATTTGTTTGATTCTTTTAATGGAGGTTCCTATAAGGAAACATACAAGATCTATAAAAATAGTGTAAAACCAAATTCAGATCACTTTTGCAGTTTCAAGGTCAATGAGATTCAATACTGAGATAAAAAAGAGGTAGCGCTACATCATCTGTAGGTTATGAACAAGTTCCATCCAGAAAAAATTGGATACATAACATTGACACTAAAAGGTTTGTATATAATACAATGTAAAGAGTATATTGATGCGTAATTTTAACCAAGATCCCTTGGAAAACTTTTCTCCTCGGTAAGAAGCCACGGAGCTAGAAACAACAATCCTATGAGTCTACAATTTCAAAGTATTTATAAAACATTACTTGTAAATAATTTGAGTTCAACACATTCCTTGGGGGCAAATTGTGAGAAAGACAAATAAAGTTTTAAATAATTTAGATTGGCTGCTGGCCAAAAATGAATTACCTCTGCCCCCGAAGGATAATAGAATTAGTATAGATTTTACTGTTCAAAACTTGGCAGATAACAATTCGCAAGAAGTTGCAAATAAAATTGTCATGGAGACAAAAAGGTATGTGGCAGGGCATGTTATTAAAAACTTAAAGTTTGCAAGTCGTGTATTACATGTAATTATGAATTGTGTGATACAACTCCGCCACAAGTAGATGATGATTACATCTTATCTGTAGATGATCACTTATGAGACCCTCCCATAACTTTTTAGTGAAAACTTGATTAAAATAATAAAAAATGCTTTACAAAATGCCTCTACAGTGGTATATGTGATAGAATTAAATTATTAATCTCTTTAAAATCTTAGTGTGGAATTCGAATTTTTGTCATGTAAAAAACAAACTTGAAAACCTGTATAATTAATTATATAATCAGCTTAATTATCCAAAGCTGGTGCACAAATGTCATTAAAATATTACATGTGTAAACAATGGTATAGTGGGCATAAGAAGTCACTTTTGTAAAGTATTTGTATTTTTAAAAGGTATAGTTATTACACACATTAAAAAAATAGTTATGTAACTAAAATATGATAATGTTATCAATATACTTAATAACAAATATTTTAAAGATTAGTAATGCTGCTCCAAAATGTATCCTTTTATATTACATTAAAGATGTACCACCATTAACAATTAATTAATACTAATTCATCAAATTTTGGAAGAGGAGCAAAACTTTGGAAAGGATTCAAATATCAATGTGCTCTTAAATGAGAAGGAGTTTAGTCTTATGGGGATACCACTGTTTTTCTCGGTGTTACTATTGGGCTCATGCGACTGACTTTGAAGTCATATTTGTTTTGTAAAATAGAGCCGCCGTACGGTCAGTTAATATCTTAAAGAGTTCCTTAGGGAAAAATTTTAAGAAATAACCCGCATTATAATTATGAAAATGTAATGTACGCAGGTACATAAAAGTATAAATAGCTTTCATAAGAATAAAGACGGTCGTACTTTAAACTCTAGGCATAAACATACGCTTGTAATATCAGTTACTAGACGCCACTGAACGAGTAATTCTTTATGGGGCAATGTATATACGCTTTTACAACAAAATCCCAGAAAGTTTACAAAATTTGTCAATAAACAAGTTTAAAATGTTTTATTAAAGGAAAAATTTACAAAAAGTGTTTTATATTATCAAAGAATACATCAACAAAAATAACCTTTGGGGAATGAGGTGATCGCCACCATGCTTGTTCTATTAAAATTTATTTAAAAATTACAACCAAAATTATTGTAAAGTGAAATATGTTTTAACCCTTAGATGCATGAATTTTTATTTTTGAAAGAATAAAATATATGTGTTAAAGCGTGACCTCCTGATCATAGGAAAAATAATAAAAAAAATTATATCTGTATATTAAAAGTTTTATTGGCAAAAAAAAGTTGTTATCAATTTTGATAAACTATGCATTAAGAAGTTTTTTGCTTAGTGATACTAGAAAACATAAAGTACCCAAGTTTTTATACTTAATGTTATTTTATTTTTACATAGCATGAAAAACTTGATAGCAATTATTTTTTCTATTGCCACAAAGCGATATTTTGCACTTAGTACACATTACAGAAGTTAGTTTTTTGCAATTTGCATATTTGCACTGATTTCTCTTAGTGTTGTAGCTTTTGTCATGTCCAACTCCATCAGTACGGACGTCGTTTGGTGGTAATGTCTGTGCACCAATCTTTGGTCTCTTTTTTGACGTATTTTCCTGTCTATTCATGCTGGGTCTGCCTCTTTTATTTTCAGATAAGGCCCCATACTTGCACAAAGTTTCAGCTAGCTCCGTCCGAAAATCAACAAGTTTTAAAATGTTTTTTGGATTTGTTTTCTTTTTCAGTGAAACTTTCTTGTATAAAATCCAGCTGTTTATTACCGCCATGTCCAGCATATGTTGGAATAGTCTATTGGTCCACTTCTTGGACTTCATTCGGATCCTATATCGCCCTAAATAACTATCCATTGTGTCCACACCCCCCATATGTGCATTATATTCTTCAATTACTTTCGGACATGGTATTGATATGTTTTTTTTCTGCTTCTTGTCATAGCGGCTAATAGTACCCACAGGATTTGCACCTACATACGTAGATAACAGCAAGACCTGTTTGTTATCCTTCCAGCTAGTCGCTGCAAACTCAACACCATCAAGAGAAGCAACATTCTCGTCGTACGAACCCCTTGGTACAGATGTTTTCTGTACATCTTCCTTTTTTGGTAGCTTACAGGTTTTTCCTAATCTGTTTCTTTGAACTGTACCTAAGCAATATATGCCTTCCTTGTGCAAATGATGAAACAGAGTCAGGCTTGAATAAAAGTTGTCAAAGTACACTATATGATTTACTTTGCAAGCAAACGCACCACTGTATTTGAAACTGCTCCAAGATTTGGCTCATTTGGTAGTCTTTTGTAGTCATGAGTTCCTGAGTAAATTTCAAATGAATATGCGTAACCCATCAGACAACAGAGCACGTACAATTTGAAGCCCCATTTATGAGGCTTGTTGGGCAAGTACTGCTTCATAAAGTGCGAATTTTTAGTTGCGCACATCTGCTCATCTAATGAAAGTCTATGATCAAAAGGAACTGACATGAATCGTTGATTTAGGTGGTCCACTATTGTTCGTATTTTGTGTAATCTGTCATGTTCAGGATGTTCACGGGGTAAGTGACCTTCATTATCGTTAAAATGAAGAATTTCCCGAATTTTTTCAAAACGGTTAACGGTCATCGTATCAGCTATTGGATGGAATCTTACATTATTTGCCCAGTAGGATCTTATACTAGGATAGTGATATACCGAAGTATAAATCAAGATACCAATATATTTTCTCAGTTCCAGAACTGTCATTGGTTCAGAAAAATTAATATTTTTTTGTATGGCATATTTATTAGATTCAGTAACGATTCTTGCGAGTAAACTTTCATCAAAAAAGTATGAAAAATACTGATAAGGAGTAGATAAATTCATAATAATCGGAGGGTAGTCAGTACATCCAAGAAATGTAAAAGCCTGATCCACCAAATCCAAATTCTTCTTCTTCCATATCCCGTAAACTAGGAGTGGCGTTGGAATGGGGCTGGTTTTCTACTAGTTTATCAAATATTAGTGGAGGATCAGGGGCTGTCCCATCATTTTCGGTCAATATTTCTTCTAGTATATGGTTCTCTCTTTCAAGATCTGCTTGCAACTCACCGACATTATCATAATAGTCTAAGGCATCCTCGTCTAGATCACTTTCATCTTCTGATACCTCTCCATTTTCTAACCGCCATAAGAGTGTCGAAATGTCTTCGTCATTCATTGTCCGCTGCTAGAAACCTAAAAACAAATATCTGTTTAAAAAAAAACTTAAATAAAGAAACGAATCCGAAAAAAACATTAAAAAATAATAAACCCATATATCGAAAAAGTTTTACCGCTACTGCATACATTATCATTTTTGATAACAAACTTCAAGCCCAAAAATTTTACCAAATGTACAATTTTATTGAAAAATTAAAACATGGACACAAAATATAGATACTAACCTTCCAAAAAATAATTTTTTTATTAGTTGAACACACTTTTATTTGTAAGATTTCTTCGGATGAAAATTACGAATTCGTTTTACTCTACAAACTGTCTGCGCTGTCATCGAAACTTTAAACTTTGGACCAATCACATGTAAGTATTTGAATGAACCAATCACAGACGAGTCTATGACATATAACGACACGTTCAGAAATCAAAATTTCCGGTTAAACGACTTTCGTTCAGGAATTAGGAGTCTAGAAAACCGTATTATCAGTTTTGATAAACTATGCACTTAAGGGTTAAAAAAAGTCGAACCAGTTGTAAATTCTGATAATTCCTAACTTTGTTGTTGTTCATATGTGTCATCTTAATCCTTCTATGATAGTATAATTGTCCACACTTTATAAATTGTTAATCAATTTCCAATTCCCTTTCTTTTTGAAAATGTCTCAAAAGCTTCGGCATATTTATTTTGGGATCTTTTATGATAAAATCAAGAATTTCTTTCTCTGTCAACCCTGTGGTCTTCATTGAGATCTTTTTGTCTCTCCCATTGGGTTTTCGAGATTTGATTTTGATCCCCTTCCGAAGCTGTGTTAACAGAGAGCGTCCTTCCGCTGTCATATTAGGTACCATGAGACCGGTTGGTTCAAATTGCTGAGAGACAAAACCGGTTATTGTCCCCTCGTCCTCATCCATTATGGGTGTGACTTGAGACTTTGTATCCATCTCTGATTGAGTGATGTTCTCTTCAGTTGTGATGGAGTACTTCACCAACTTGGTTACTTGTACCTTTCCGTCACGTGACTCAGACACTGTGTATGCTGTACCGGATGTGTAAGATACCCATTGCATAAATGCCTTGAACTGTGGTATTAATTCTGATTCAATCTCTAGATCAAAAGTTTCTGGAGGACAATAGTGTGTGGAGGTCTTTAGAGATTGGATAGCCTTGGTCACCGTCTCCTATCTCCTCACGAGCTCTGGGTCTCCGCCTCCATTTTCTCCCTCTTCTTCTGCTTCCACAACTATAGGATCCGGATCAGGGAGATCCTCGGCATATTCATATTCCTCAGGATCTGCCTCAATCTTTTTTGCTCTGAGCCATTGAAATCCACGTGATGCTACTTCTGTCACCTTCCCAGAAATTCCCCCCATTTCAGGAGGAAGTTGCTCGTCGTTGATTTGGAGAGCAGCTTCTGCGTCTTCCTGGATTTACTTACAAAATCCTCTCTTGTCTAGCTTCTCTGCTAACTTATATGATGCGCTTTACGAATCCATTGTATTTAATTGAATTGAAATTTAATTGAAACATGTTTTTCAATAAGTTTTACGTAATAATCTATATTGAATAAAAATTATACTAGTGTATTCTATTCTCTGTAATACTAATGTAATATCTACTAACCACAGTTATATTTTTGTCTCCTGATAAACCTAGGGATGACGAGGGGCGATATAACTGAATTTTAGAAGGTGAATGTTCAATTGGCGTAATAAAGAATGATATAAACTCCTTTGCCACAACACACAACGTTTTCTATCTCTTTGAGGCGACTGAACTACAGAAAGTGTTGTCCTATTTGTGGTGCAAGATGCGACTTTCCGACGACAAAATGTTTAAACCGATGAGAGGTGATTTATAGCAAAGAAAACGAGATGGCTGTATACACTTTTAAAATACTTCGTCAGTGCGTATAATATAGCGTAGCGTTGTAGCGTTTAGTATGCGTCATTGGAAATGGAAGAAGGCGACACAATAGAAGTCTACCAACAGCAGACTGGACTAGTGTAATTTGATCTTAAGGAACTGTTCATGTTCTGTGGAAAGATCGCCACAGTGTGCCCATCTCAAACGTTTAATAACAACATTTGTAACTTGTATTTCAGGATATATGTGAAAGTTGACAGATGGACAATAGCACATTCTAACATTTTCTTTCGTGTTATTGTGCATCTTGTATCTTTCAAATTAATTAAGGTGGAAATTTGAGGTAAACCAAACGTTTATAAGTAACTTCTACAATTATTTCGATATGATAATTTTAGTTGACATGTCTACAATCAGCCAGTATTTTGAATGCTGAGGCGCTTAGACATTTCCAGTTTTTTTTCTATGTGGTAAATGTAATTTATTGGACATTATTCCATCAAATTATCAACTCTGTACTTATCTGAAATAAAGCAACTCTATAAGGTCGTAATTCCACTTTAAAAATTAATTAGATTAGATGTGCGTGGTTATGCAATACTTGTTTCGTTAAATCTTGGTAAGAGTGCTATCTTACTCACCAGTATATCTTCGCTCTGTTCACATGCAGTACGAAACTTTTGTATTACACTTGCATTCCTAGTCTCCTGGTATATCATAGATTAATTACTCACAGTTTCACTATTTAATTTAGAGAAAAAAATAAATATAAAAATATAAATATTCTGGAAATTATTATCTAAAAATACGTCTGAGGAAATAAAACTAGGAAAATGGCAAAAATCAATAGTTGAATGACTGTGGACATGTCCGCTTTGTATGGAATCCAAGAGGGAAGGGAAATAATAATATCAAGCTGCCTTTCATAACATCACAAAGGCACCCGTCAAGTCGCAGCAGCGACTCGAAATCGTGGGGGGACACCTTATTCCGAGATTTTTGTACGGCCTTGTGCTTGGTAAAATCTCGGATGATAGGTTGTGCAATGTGCATGCTCGACGTACAGATCCGGGGTGCGGTAAGGAATTGGCTGAGGCTCCCGAAGGACGTGCCTGTCGGGTACTTCCATGCCGACATAAAGGACGTCGTTCGACTGTCCCCGACCTCATACTTAAGATTTAAGTACATTAAGTTAACTGGTTTTGAGTCTTTATGCTTAAATTTTGCAGTGTTGATTAAAATAGTGTCAGCCATGTTAATGTAGTAATCATATTATGTATATCGACAGGATTTGTTACGGTTTCATTTTTTAAATTTAATACAGTAATATAGTCATCTATTTTTATATTCGTTATTTAATTTTTTATCACTATCCATGTCGCCTTACATTGGTTTTCCTTCCATTTATAATTTTAATATTTGCTTTTCTTTGTGAGTTATTAATGCATTTTTTTAATAATTTGGAGTAGGTCTCGTACGTTTCTTTATTTACTGATGTCTTATTATTGTAATATTTAAAGTGTAGATATCTTTTTGTTTTGCAACTTGTTTTAGGACCACGGCTGTGCATTGTTTCTTAAAATTAATGTTGTTCATTTTGATTTTTATGTTCAGTAAACCTAAATCATAAAATAAACATAACATATCTTGGAATTTTTTAAATGCTATGTTTGCTTCAAGCTCCTCGTAGACTACAGACCATAAGTTGTTAATGCAATTTTTGAACTTTTTTGAGTTTTCAAGGCAATAGTCTCGTTTATAAACGAAGTGTGACTTGTGTGTAATTTTTGGTCCCTTTATGAGAGAAGTTTATAGCTGAGCCGTGTCATGGTCAAATAAATGGTGTGGTAATAAGGTAGTTGTAGCGTCTTTAATATTGCAAAAATAAAATCAGTTACGACTTGGACTAATAATGTGTATTTTTAAATTGTAGTTGCTGTATAAATCTGATAAATGGCTGCTTATTTTTCCTGGCTTTAAGTCACCAGTAATAACAATCTGCATGGAATTTGTATAACGCCTATTGACTTCATGTCTATTTTTTTAATCAAGTTCGGACCAGAGTTGGTGGTTCTATAAATACAGATTATAAGTACCTTAAGTGACAAGATGTTAATACTACAAGCTTCAAATATCCTTTACGTTTCATGATTGTGTAAGAAGTTTAATTCTTCATAAATTAATCCTTGTTTAATTAAAATACAAGTTCCGCCTCTTTGTTGATCTCTACAGAAAGTAATGCTAATTCATATTGGGCAACATTTACATATTTATTGCGATTGGATGTCAGGAATTTTTCACACAAACACAATACGTCTGGATTTGTATTTGAATCTCGCAATTCCTCCCAATTCTTTCTTTGCAAGTATGCTGGCTATATTCTGATGCATGGTTGTAAATGATTTATATATTAGAGACTCGAAAAAAAACTTTTGTTATTATCCTTGAGGAAAGAAGTTGGTTATAAAGTGTTTGGTTTTTTACCTCCGTTTTAGCAACAGCGCCGGATGTGGATTGATGTTTAAAATAGTAAGGAACAAGGTTCCTGTAGGATAAATGTTTACGCTGCTTTTTTGTGCCATTGGATGATTGTCACATCCTATCAACTTTTTTATTTCACGTACATCGAGATACTTTTTTTCATAGTCAATATGGTCAATGAGAAAATAGTTGAATTATATAATAATAATATAAATATAATATAATATAATAATAATAAAAATAAAGCCCTTTTATTCCGAACCACAGGCAGTTTAACATTTGTGGTTTATGAATTTTATTTCTTATAATATATCTCGCAATTCGGCGTGCCTCTTGGCATAGGCCTCCTGCAGCTCTCTCCATTGAGCTCGGTCTTCTGCAACTCTGGTCCAATATGGTCCTAGGGTTAGACGAATATCGTTACTCCATCTTGTTTTCGGACGCCCCTGTCTTCTGATGTCCCCTCTTGGATCCATCCAAAATAATTGAATTACACATGTTAAAAATATTTTCATTCGTACATGTCACAAAATGGCACCTATTACATATACTACATGTTTTAGTAGGCTATTATCAAAGTCATATATTATGTGAGTATGCTTATGTTTAAATATATTTAACAAAAGTATACCATTATTTTTAAAAGTAAATAATAATTTCCAAAGTTGGGATAACCAAATTTTTATATCGTAGTTATTTTCACCAATACATAATATTAGTTTGTCATTGGACATTAAATCAATGTTACGACAGTCTTTTAAAATATCAGTAGGCACAACATCGAGCTTCGCTTGAGATGTGAATGTATATATTTCATACGACGTATTTTCTCTTGATCGAATAAGGGCTGAGGATAGACCAACCCACTGTTGTGAAGATAAATATTCTTTTCCTGTTGTCGTTTTTCTTAGTCGATGTAGGATATAATTTAACACAGGGTTGTGAATGCGATGAATTCATGTCATGCAATTTCAGTTTCAACGTGTGTATATGTTTATTGAGGGTTTCAATTTCAATTTGCACATCTTTAACTTTTTTATTGCATTCGCTTGCTTCTGCCATCTTAAAGTGGCTTGAATTGCTGAAAAATAACTTTTGATAAAAAGTGTAAAAAAAGTCTTATAAATAGAAGCAAGTTAATTCAACATTCTTTATTTGTTATAATGTATTATTATTTTATATGTAATAAAAACATTAGTGCGATGCATGCGGGGAATATGAAGTGCCGGCTCCCTTGGCCGTTCGTAACATTCTAGCCCCGGTAGAGTCATCGACCCTGTATTCTTCTTTTGGAAGGCCGGAAGCTTCTTTACCGGCCATCGTAGAGTAGACTACATCGAGTCCTCATCTCGACATCCCATAACACGCCATCAGATGCAGGAAAGGTTCGCGTGACGATTACTCGTGGCTATACGTTACGAGGAAGGTTAACAATAACTATTACTACGAGGTCGCCCTCCTCGGCGTCTGTCATCTTGGCGGGGGTTCTTGATTCGGTAGAAATTCCCACACCCATCGTTTGCAGTATTCAGCTGCATGCCCTTGACCTTCCTTGCATGTCCGGTGATTAGCTGGCGAACACGGCGTTGTAACAGGCTCAACTGAATGCACACGTGAGGAAGTGGTTGCGAGTTAGGACTTTCTGGTCGTCGATGTTGACTGGCACACAAGTTAGAAGCCGTAAATTGACTGTGTTCTCTGTCTCTGCCAACAAGGTGATTAGCGTCTCTTCTTTGAGGCTCTTCTGATCGAGGGGTGCTTCCAAGTTTCAACGCTGTCTCGACGGATAGCACGAGCCTTTCCCATACCCCACCTTGCTTGGTGTTTTATTAAGCACGTGAACAACGGCACTCATCGCTGCTAGTAACGGTGCCTTACAGTTACCGACTACGGTCCGAAGTAATCTACCGTTTCAACCTGAATTGGAGTTTCTTAAACAAGATTGTGTAACATGCGCGCAAACAGTGTCGGTTATAATCATCACTTTATCATTCCATTAATGTTCCTCGATATTGTTTAGTTTCGTGTTTTCGTACTTCATCGCCTTTATTTAATTTATTCGAACACCAACCGAATTGTTACCTTACCTCAACAAAATTTAAAATTGACATTAGCTACCAAGAGGTATTCACATGAATTACCTTCCGGCAGTCGGTTTAAATAATAATTCTGTTAACGAGGACGACTTGGTTTGGGGCATTGATTATATTATTCACTGTTTAATGAAATGCTGATGTTTGTTTTTGCCAAAAGAACTGGTCATTTTTGGATAAATTTCATGAGGGGCAGGAACTTGACCGCCGGTGCATTACCGCTCTTTCATTCCTGTTTAAATAATGGTCTCAAGAGGATTTCATAAATAAAAAGTGTTGTGATTTCGTGAATTAAATATCCACGCACACTACGTGAACTATTTGTGGAAACCATGAAACAGATACGCAGGTGGTGATGTGAACCTCGAGTAAATGTTTCCACGGAAGCGTCTTGAGATACTGTGTCATCGAATGTCTGCTCGCTCGAGCTGCCGTTATAATATAATATCATAAAAGCGTCACATAATGTGCAGAAGTTTCATAACGAATTAATATAAAGAATATTCTTTTGTTCCTTGACATTGACAAAAGTAAAGGGTGTCTCATTACGACCCAACTATTTTACTTGAAAAAAAAATGCATTAAACTTATTTTTGTATGCATTTATTGGTATGAATTAAAAGATAAGGAACAAATTTTTACTTTTTAAACACGACGTTCTTTAAATGACGGCCATCACGTTGACGGCACTCCTCAAACAGTTTGCGTACACTTTCAAAAACTTTAAAGAAGTGGTCGAGGAATACTCCTGATTTTTCTTCAATATTGTTTCAATATTGTTTCAATATTGAATCTGCAAATTTCGTGGATTATTCTCGTAGACTACGCTCTTAAGATAACCCCACAAGAAAAAATCGGGTGGGGTTAAGTCAGGGCTACGAGGTGGCCGTTCAATATCACCTCTTCGTGAAATCACCTTTTCTCGTAACAACTCGCGCAATGCAGCTAAAAAGTTGTTAGTGGTGTGCGATGTGGCCACGTCCTGTTAAAACCATGTCAGCCGGTTGTAATGCTTACATTGTTGCAGTTGAGGTCCGAAAAAATTGCGTATCATGTCGACATAGTTGTGCAGAAGTTACAGTCACTGCTTGTCCTCTGTTATCTTCATAAAAGTACGGCTCAATAATGCAGTTCGCTGACATAGCGGGGTCGCTATGTCAGCGAACTGCATTATTCAGTCATTACACGGTCACTTTGGGGCCATGCAACGTTTCTCCCCAAATACGACAATTTTGACGATTGATGTATCCGTCCAAACGAAAATGCGCCTCATCGCTAAAGAACATGTTGAAATTGTTAAATCTTTCTAACATTACATTCACAAAATTCAATCTTGTAACGTAATTCATTTTCATGAAGAGCTTGCACAATCTGAATTTTATAGGCCTTTAGGTGTAAATCAGATCGCATTATACACACATCGATAATCCCAGCTGAGACTCACGCTTTCTAACGCTGAGTCGAGGCTGTCGGCTTACAGAATCTGCAACTGACTAAATGTTTCCAGGCGTTCTTGCTGTCCTTGGACGGCCGTGATGGATTTCGCCAATAGTGTTTCCAGTAGTATTGAATGTCTGGATCGAAGCTAAAATTGTTGCATTGCTTGGAGTTTCCACCATGTTGTGCAGTCGATAACGTAACCGATACATCCGTCGAACTCGAATGAGTGATCGATTGATCTCGAAATGCGCGCGCACGCAAAACGAGCGTTGCTCTCCCGTGTACGGCATGATGCAACTAAAAATTTAAGGAACGGTCTAGCCTGTTAACCAAGCCATGCGCACTTTTGATCGTACAATACCATCCTTCCGTCCGCCAAGTAGTGCGCTAATTAGATCAGAATTATGTAAACGTGTGTACCTATGAAAAAACAATTTTTTCGTTTTAAACAAAACCAAAGACACTATGCAATAGATAATAGTATCAAAGACAAAGATATGCTCTTTTATTTTAAACCATAACCTGGCAATGTTTCTTAGAAAAAAAAAGAAATCACTCTGAACTTTCGGCGTTCCACGTGTCGTTTTGATGAAGGTGCTCCGTCTTTTTTATAGAATTTTATTGTTTTATTTATGTGTCTGGACTAAAAACGAAAGTGTTATACTTTTTTATATTTCTTGTAATATAGTAAACACGTAGATATATAATTTGTGGTATAAAAAGTGAAAAGTAAATTGCCAAAAGTACTTCAAAATCCGGAAGCTCCATTTTGGCGGTTGGGTCATAAATGTGTTATTTTCCAAATTCTCATTTATTTTTAGTGTAAAGTGTAAGTAAAAATAGTTTTCTTACATATTTCAAATAACTTGACGTTGTATTTATTTCAAATTCACACAAAAATATGTTTGAAATATTGTTCGAAATGTCATACAGATAAAATATTATTATTATTTTTTAATTCTTTAATATTTTAATATTTTGGTATGAGTAACGAATGGAAACACATAAAACATAAAAAT